CCAGTGCGGTAGGAAGGCACGCTGAACTCACCACCCCATGTGAAGCCAGGCTTGAAGGAACTGCCCTCACCCTTGGCCACCAACTCCTTCACAGTGAAGAGGAAAGGGACGTACTCACCATCTGGAAGCTTCACCGTGGTAGCTGCGAAGTCCATGCCATCCTGCTCCTTGAAGGTGATTGGGTTGGGATCCAAAGTGCCCTCGACGAAAGCCAGTGTGTAGGTCTGACGTGTGGTCAGCTTGGTTGTGGCAAACTCTTTGCCGTTGTCAGTGTCGATCTCAACAGCAAAGGACTTGGGCTCGAAGCACACGTTGATCAGCTTGGAGCCAGCTTTCACAGGCACCTCAGAGCCGTTGGATTCCACAGTGGGGCAGCGGTTGGCCAAGCCAGAGCCCCTCACCTGGTTGTAAGTTAGCTGGCTGAACTGCTCAGCAGTGATAGCCTTTGCAGGCTGGGCTGCCACAAGACCGAAAATCACACCCAAAGCAGCGCCGAAGCTCAAGAGAGGCGCAGCCCAAGAGTAGCTGCTCTCGCTGTTCTCAGTCTGCAATGGTGCTGCCAAGGAGTCCGCATGGTTTGGGGTTGTTGGCGCACGCGGCGGCTGCGTGGGCACCCCACCAAGGAAGCAGCTTCCGAAGGCAGCTGCTGCAAGAAGCACACCCACCACTGCACCACGAGCCATGGCAAGAGGCTTCAAAAAAGAACACCTGAGGAAAAAGCCTTATGAACCACCAGTGCCAACGGGTGCTGTCGCAGATCGAATGGAAAAACTGCACACACAGCAACCTCTCTTCGTGTGTCTCCCAGGTGTCTCTCCACTAGGTGCTTCAACAATACATCTCCAAAGTGATCCATCAAAGTTTGCAGGTGGCAGCAGGACATAACCTTCTTCTTATCTGGATGTCGAATTGCGACTGGGATATCAGTTATGAATCAACCTATAGAAACTGTACTTAAAAAACGTTTGTGGAAACAATGTCAAGAATGCCAGTAAAAGGTAGATGATCGAATACTACGGTGGCTTGTACATGAGACGTTCACATGCAGTGGGGACAACACTATACAATGGGGTTGAGAAAAGCATAGGCACGGATGGAAAAAATCGTGTGACAGCTGCACATGAGGCGTCCACGTAGGTGGGTTCACCCAAAACAGCATTGAAATTTCCCCGTGATTGAAGCACAAGTCACAAGGCAAACACAAAAACATTCAGGAAACTCTCAGTCTCTCAGTACCTGGCATTCACGATGGAGTGCACGATGACCAAGTCAGAGAGTCAAATGTAGCTGTTGTTGAAATTGCGTAACGAACTCCCATATTCACCAGGAGCCCCTAGTAGCTTCTTGTTACTACTAGCAAGAATGCTCCTAGCAGTACGGCCCGCAGCCCCTAGTAGCGTCCTTGCTCCTAGTAGCGATGCCAGGAGCCCCTAGTAACATGGCGTTGGTTCGTCACTTCAGAATCGGGAGAACACTTTGCGCTACTAGGAGCAAAGGGCATCGCTACGAGGAGCAAGAAGCTACGAACGGGGCTCCTGGCATCGCTACGAACGGAGCAAGGACGCTACTAGTAGAGCACTTTGCTTTTGAGAACACTCCACCGTACGTGGAATTCTCAACCCCCAAGGGAGCCGATGGTGTCTTCGATGCTTCCGCACTGTCACCGAAAAGACCGTGGAAATGTTCGAACAATGCTAGTAACAAGATGCTATTAGGAACAAGTGCATCGCTACTAGTAACAAGTGCCTTACTAGTAGTAACAAGAAGCTACAAGTCACTAATGTGGAACAACCGTTTCGCTAAGCTGGTTCCAATCACTCAAACGATCGTGATGCGTGTGCCTTTTTTGGGGAGGGGCGTGCTATGGACGCGTGGCGTCTATTTTGCACTCCGTGGCGTCTAATGCGGAGTTGGAAAAAAACAAACTCCCAGACATGGACACAGAGACCCAACGGTATCAATTCGCAATCACACGCAGTCTTGAGCTGCCGATGGGAGAGTGGTTGTGGTCGAGCTACCTCTCT